CAGGCCATTTGCGAGTAGTTACTTTGCGAGTAGTGGAACGCGCTCGTCTATTTGTACTTCTGGCATCCGGTTGAATCTTCCTGTGCAGCATCGGCCCTCACCCCTCTCGGCTGGGTTAGCGGATCTGCATCGCCATCGGTTCTCGCTCGACTCGCGATGCGAACGGCACGCGCGCGCGAGCTGACGCCATGCTGATGCGATTGTGTTCAACCAGCAAAACACGTACCAGGGCGGCGCTTCGGATGTCTGTGACGACCGAACAGCACACACCGATACCCATACGAGGGTCGGAGGGAGGAGGACTGGCTACGGGTATGGGTGCGGGTTGTCGGACCCTGGGGGCAGCTCCCGTTCGAGCGGGGACCCCCATCCGACAACACGCACCCATAGCCCCCTCCGTCCCCCCTATGGGTATGGGTGCGTGTTGTTTGTTCGTCAGTCTGAGCGCCTCTCCATCGCCCACCGCGCCGACGCTGCGCCGTCGGTGCCTCTGGTGCGGCGGCGGGGTTCCGAGTGGCCCTGGAGCTGGAGGCGTCCGTGCTCATCGCCGAGGCATCGCCAGTGTTCGCTCTGGCCTGCGGAGACAGCGCCCCGCTCGTGCTCGCCATGGGGCCAGGGCCGACGATGCTGATTCTTCAGGCTCGCATCGCCGTTGCTCTGTTGCCAACGCCGTGCTTGCGTTTGTTTCCTCCCCAGTTGTGAAGTGGTGGCGGCGAAGCAGCGGCCAGGCCATTCCCCAGGCCAGGGCCGGAAGCAGGTGGCCTCACGAGTACGCGGCCCAAAAATATACACCACCACCATCTCCCTCCCTCCCCTCCCGCCTCCAGGAAGGCAGAGAGGAAGATGAGGGAGCAGCGGGGGGAGGGGGAATGGAGGTGGTTGGTGTGCCTACAGTCAACCCGCATAGTAAGGATGGGCAACCTTCGCAAGGGTATCATTGCATCCTTGCCTCCTCGGCCCATCCTTGGCCATCCTCGCTGGCCGCGCCCGGCTCGAAAAGCTTCGACGTGGGCTTTCAAGGCCCTTGCATCCTCATCGTGCGTCCTTGCTATACTGGTTGACTGTAGTGCTGGGGCCCGCAGCGAGGGGGGTGGGGTTGGGGGGAGGCGTGGGGGAGCATGCCCTGGCCTCCGCCACCAGAACCACCAGATCTGCAGGCGGAACGCACCCTGGCCCGTGCAAAGCCCGGCACGCCTCGCGCCCCCCCCCCCGCCGCACGCCCGCGGCCTCGGCGCCCAGGGGCCTCGCCCCGCCTGCCGTGCCCGCACCCGAGCGCTCGGAGGCGACGATAGGGCCGAGTAGCCCGGGGGGGAGCAATACACGTATCCAGGGGCGCCGGTGGCCTGTGTTTTCGAGAAGGCTCCTGGGAGAGTTCGCCCCCTATTAGCGCCGCCGACCGACGGCCGCTCCGTCGCCCCTCCTCGCCGCGACCTCGCCACGGCCAGCTCTGGCGGCGGCGGCGGGGCGTCGCGGTGCTCGTCGTCGTCGTCCCCGCCCACGTGCTGGGTGGCCGCTCTGCGGGCGCCTCGTGCCCTCTCGCCGCGTTTGATGCGCTTGTTTGTTCCACCACCACCACCACCACCACCACCACCACCACCACCACCACCACCACCACCACCACCACAAGTTGGAGGGGGGGAAGGGGGAGCAGGGAGAGGAGGACGAAGCGGAGGAGGAGGGGGAGGAGGAGGAGGAGGGGGGGGAGGAGGAGGAGGAGGAGGAGGAGGAGGAGGAGGAGGAGGAGGAGGAGGAGGGGGACCCCCCCCTCCAACTTGTGGCGGTGGTGGTGGAGAACACGCCCATCAGCGTCGCGGCCTTGCTCGGATCCGCCGAGATCCAGCGTTGCGCAGAGGCCGCCGCACCGCCGCGAGGAGCCACGGTCGAAGCCCCAGGCCCCGTCTCCCTGCAGCATCTTTCGAGCCGGGTCGGTCCGTGCTGGCCCCGGGGCCCAAAGCCGAGCGACGTCGCCCGGTGCGTGTCGTCCGCTCCTATTAGGGCTGAGCGTGCGTCAGGAGGGGAGGAAAGAGACACAGACACACAAATGCACGTCGACTGCGAGGAAGATGCGGGAAAACCTGCTGAGCGAAGGGAAAGACGAAAGTCCAACACATCTAGAAAAGTATGGGGAATATTTTGTGTATGTGAGTGTGTGTGTGTGTGTGTTTCTGGGCCCCTTCAAGCATACGGGGTTGACGGAGGGGGGGAATGAGCCCGAGCGCGTCGCCACCCAGGAGCGAGCGACGGATTCCGCCAGGCTCACTCTCGTCCTCGTCGTCGTCGTCGTCGTCGTCGTCGTCGTCCTCGTCGTCGTCGTTGTCGTCCTCGTCGTCGTCGTCGTCGTCGTCGTCGTCGTCGTGCCCGAGCGCGTCGCCGCACAGGAGCGCGCGACGGAATGCGATCATCGTCGTCGTCGTCGTCGTCGTCGATCCCTTCTCTTAAGTCGGGCCTGCCCCTCGACAGGAGGAATCAAAAAAATCGAAAATCGTCTGGGGACTTTTTGTTTTGTTTTTTGTTTTTTACTATTTTGAATTTTTCGTCCAAAATCCCTCTGTAGTGGAGTAGGCCCGACCTAACCCTTCTCCCCGGCGCGCCTGGCGGCGTGAGCGCCAGGGGCATTGGCGTGCCCTCGGGGGGCAGTCCGCTGCCCTGGGTGCCGTGCGCTGCTGCCCTGTCCGCCTCGAGCCCGCCTCCTCCCTGTCTTCGTACGGTGAGGGCACTGGACAGGGAGCCACTGAGCGATTCGGATGTATCGGGGAGCGTTTCGGATTTATCCTCAAGTCGGGCCTGTCCCTCTACAGGAGGAGTATGCAAACATAGTCAAACAAGCAGTATGGGGACTATTTTTGGAGTGTTTTTTGGTGACCATTTTGGAATATTGTTTGAATATTTTTATTTTTCGTCGAAAATTCCCCTGTAGGGGGACACGCCCGACTTACTCCTAAGTACGGTGAGGACATTGGACAAGGAGCCACTGAGCGATTCGGCTGTATCGGGGAGCGTTTCGGATTCATCCTCGTCCTCGCCCCGTCCGAAAATTTGTTATCGAGGCGGTGGACTTGCAGGAGCTCCGGCCTCAGGCCAACCCTCACAACCGCGCGTGCGCGGAAGGACTCGCCCAGGAGGCGCTGCGCCGCCGCCTGGATACCGCGCGGAAGCCCCCTGGAATCTGGAAATGCTGACGTCTCGCTCCTCGGGGGCTGCTACACCGCGCTTGCAGTCGGACCGAGGTACAAGATCGAGGTCGGCTCGGGGAGGGTACCCCATACTGGTCTTCGTGTTTGCTGCATGTTCTTGTGCATCCTGGGGGGGCTGCCCTCGAATGCTCTCTTCGGTTTGGCTGGTCGAGGGCCTCATGCTCTTGAAGGGTCTTCTTCTGGCCTAGGACCGGCTGCACGGTGAGGGCATTGGAAAAAGGAACCATCGGAGAAGGGCTCCAGGGTCGGGAAGCCAGTGGAACACCAGCTGTGGATTGTGGAAATCACCGCCGCCCTCGTCAGATAAGGAATCATCTCGGGTGTGAAGCCTCCCGGGCATACAGGATCCGGCTTGACTAAGGAACACTTATTTTTCGAAAAGGCCTCGGTCGTTCCTTTGGTTTGCATGCGTTCCGCTAACTTTTTGGCGCCGGGCCCCCTTGGTGTTCCTCCGGACTTCGTAGACTTACTTGGAACAAGAGCGGCCTCGTTCCTTATTTATCGTTCCTTAGGTCAGGCCGAATCCTGTATTCCTCAACGAACGCCCCCACCGTATGCTGAGCCCCTTGCCCCTCTTGAGCCTCAGACCCCCTCGCGTCTCGAGCCAAAACAGCCATGCAAAATCGCGGCGGACTGTCTTTTGCTATTCTCGGTCTCGTGGGGCCCTCGCCGTGCCGCGGAGCCGTCGAGGCACGACTCGGGATGAAGAGCCCGTCCCAGGTAACTAGCCGAGTCCTGTGAGGGTCGTCGTCGTCGTCGTCGTCGTCGTCGTCGTCGTCGCCTTCGTCGTCGTCGTCGTCGTCGTCGTCGTCGTCGTCGTCGTCGTCGAGGTTGTGAACAAGATCATGGCTTCGGGGGTCTGGGGCCTCATCTCCCTCTGGGACAGACCTCAGACCAGCCCTGGCGTGAAGTCGGCTCGGCCCGCAGCGCGCTCCCATCCAGCCGTGCTGCGACCTGGCACGCTGTGCGCGACAGCGTCCCAGCCAGCGGCGTGAGACCCACGTCGCAGTCCGTTCTTGCTTCCTGGATGCAAAGGTTGGCCCCGTGTGTGCGAGGGCGCGTGGGCGCAGCCCGCATCGCGGCCTGCCCGCCGCTCCTATATGGACGGCGCTGTTGCACACGGGGGCCGCAGCACCACTGCCTCGACTCTCCTCCTCCTCCTCCTCCTCCTCCTCCTCCTCCTCCTCCTCCTCCTCCTCCTCCAGCACCTCCGCCGCCGCAGCCGCCGTCTGCACCCTGCGCGCGGCGCCGCGCGCGTGGCGCGCAACCCCGAAGCCCGCGCACGGGGGGCGCGCGGCCTGGCGCGCAGCCTGGGCTTTTGATGTTCCAGCCTACTCTAGCCTTGACCACCAGAAAGAATTTCGAGCACCAAGAAAGTACCCAAAAACTCGAGGGGTTTCACGTGTCGGGCCCTGGGAGACATTCTCTCGACATTGTTTCGACACTCCTTCGACACTTTTCGGGGTGCTCGAAATTATTTTTGGGATGTGGTCCTTCAGTGCGATGGGCGAAACATAAGCCTGGGCCCAGGTTCTCCTCCTCCTCCTCCTCCTCCTCCTCCTCCTCCTCCTCTCTCCTCCTCCTCCTCCTCTCCTCCTCCTCACTCCTCCTCCGCCTCGTCCTCCTCCCCCTCCTCCCCCTCCTCCTCCTCCTCCTCCTCCTCCCTCCTTCCTCCTCCTCCTCCTCCTCCTCCTCCTCCTTCTCCTCCTCCTCCTCCTCCTCCCTCCTCCCCCCTCCTCCTCCTCCTCCTCCTCCTCCTCCTCCTCCTCCTCCTCCTCCTCCTCCTGGCGCGCAGCCTGGGCACAGGTTCTCGTGGGCCGCGGCGGGCGGCTCCCGCTGGGCGGCCCTCGCGGCGTGGACGCAGGACGGCGCCTGACTGGGAAGGGGTGCTCTGCGGGGCAGCCTGGTCTCCGCCCGTCGGGGGAGCCACCGCGACCCAGATTTAAGCCGGGCCTGTCCCTCTACAGGAGGAGTATTCAAAAACAGTTAAACAATAGTCAGGGGACGATTTTTGACCATTTCTGAACTTTTACTTTTTATTTGTTCGTCCAAAATTCCCCTGTCGGGCGAGAGGCCCAGCCTAAACCCAGATCTCCGACGGCGTGTTTGCTTGTAGCCGGCGTCTCGTCCTCGATTTCGGCCCAGGGGGCTGCTATCATGCGATCGCAAACATGGATCATCACCACCCACCAAACCACCCCAACTCAACTCGACGGCCCAAATTGACCCTCGATTCCCAGTTGGGGGGGGTCGGAGAGCATCGAAAAGACATGCGTGGAACCCGTACCCCCCCCAACCCGAAACTTGGGTCTTCGGGTTCGGTTGAGGTGGTCTGGTAGGTAGTCAGATCAAGGGAGCGTGGATTAGTGACGGCTCCCGTTTCCATCAGAAATCGTGGATTTCCGCCGCCGAGCGAGGCGGCACCAGCCGGATTTTGGTGAGGGCACCTCCCCCGATCCATGGATTTGGCGACCGCGCGCCAAATCCATGGATCGCTAATCCATGTTTGCGCGCCCCCGATGTTGTCCAGCCCCGGGACCACCCAAACCGGATCCGGCTGATAAACTGCCCCAGGGGAATGGGTCGGGACCTCCGTGGGGACGCGGATCGAAAACATCACATCGGCGGATGTCGGGGGACGGGGGGTTGTCGAACGTTTGGGCTTCCAGCGGCCTTCGCGGGGCCCCATGGCCGTCCAGAAACGGCTCGCGATCAGAAGCTGGCCCCCAGGGAAGTGGTCCAGACTTTTGTCGGCCGACGTTGCGGAACCGATGCGATGTCGTGGGTCTGACGAGGGCTAGGGGGTGGCCATGGCGGTGACCAGACCTGGCCCCTTGCCTGCCGCGTTGCCGCCGCTGCCCCACCGCCCGCCTTCTCTCTCTCTCTCTTTTTTTTTTTTTCTCTCTCTCTCTCTGCCTCAGCCCAAGTCCCTGGTGAGATGGCCGCCCTCTCAGTACTCGTTGCACACCATGCTCCTCCAGAATCTCGTCAACGATTCGGCACACGATTCCAATGCGAGCCTTTCTCTGGTGAGTGAAGATATGGACGTAGATATAGTAATCCCCTTCCGCGCCAACAAATGCTTCCATCGTCAAATTGGGCTTCGAATATCCATGCTGCCGCTGAGCACCTGTCCTTCCAGGTGCCACCATCAAAATGCAGTACGAGGTTCGCCGAGTTCATGTCCCGGTCTGGCGGGAAGGTCTCGCGCCAGGAACGTCGAATATCCGTTGAGTAATTCACCAGATGATCAGCCATACGATTATGACAACGACGACGCCATACAGTGGGGGCGCGCATCAAGGAACCGTATGCTCTTCGTGAGGGTATCCTGGGTTTCTTCGCTCCGCGCGCTGCGCGGTGACTTCCCGCAGCCGTTGAAGAAGCTGCTGCGTTCGGGGTGCTCGGGCTTCCCCTCGGGTGCACCCCGCGCGCGGGTTTTCAGGGTTGGGTTTCTTGCGAGGGTTTCTTGCGGCCGCGCCCGCACTGTATAACAGGATCTAGATGCAGAGCTGGCGGGGTCAAACAAGCATCCATCAGCCACGCGATACTGCGGGAGATTCTCTGAGAGGCCAGCTCAAGAGTGAAATTCGCGATGGGAGACCTGCCAATCGCAATCTCTACCAACGGTTAGCAGTCCGACACGCAAACAAAATGGCGCCCAAAACCATTCCAAGAGAATGAGGGATCATCGCATCCAGCCTCCGTATGTGCCACGGGGCAGTTATCCAGCGTGTGGACGCACTGGTCGTCTCTCCTGCTGACCTGTCCCTCCGCGCCCCCTGCGGTAACCAGCGCGCCGGATTTCCAACTGCAGTAAGATACCCCGTACTTCTTCAACTGCCAGGAGTGAGAGCCAACATAGCTGACGTGCTCGGCCCCTGGGACCACGCTCGAAGTTTTGCCCCAGCCGACCCCGGCCCCTTACTAATCCGAACGTGCTTCAAATACAAGCCCGCCGCTCTGCAGAGCCTGTGTTCCAGGGCTTCCGCTGTCCGGCCATCGAACGCATTCTTTTGAAAACCAGCGGCTCCGGGATAAAAGCAACAATGCCACCTCATTCCAAAGTCTCGGCGGGCCCACAACGCATGACCTCCAAGGAAGAGTGCTTCCACGTCGAGCCGTGCTCGTACAGGGCATCCGTCGCTTCCTGCGCCATCAGCTGAAACTCCGCTACGCTCCTTGCGAGCAAGAAAATGTTGCCAGCCCAAACGAAATGCGGTATATAATCCAAGTCGCCGTCGTACGACCTTCTGCCCTCCATCTCACCCCGACTGGCCACAGGATAAACTCGACGAGGAAATTGAAAAGCGGCGACGTCTTGACGCCTCCTTGCTTAACCCCACCAGAATCTGAAATATGTTGGAAGGTTCTGCCCCAGGTATCGCGATGCGCCTTCCAGAACAGATAACTCTCTCATCACGACCCGGAATACATTCACATGCACCTTTCTTTTCGTCAACGTTTCGTGCAAAGTTGCGTGACGAAGACTTTCAAAAGCGAAGCGAACATGAGTGGCGCCCAAGATAAGAAATTCACCCCAATGATAGGAAACGTCGATGGTTTGATGCAAAACCGAAGTAATGCCATCACTCCCACATCCCCCCTTGAAGCCAACAGTTGCCACAGGGGTCTCAGGAACTGGCTTCGAAAGTGCTGGCCGCAAATTTCGCATGTACCATTTCGATAGACAGTCCTCTTTTCCAATGTACCGGCGGAAATCCTCAGACACGATCGGCTTAGGAATCTTAAGCAGACATCAGAACTCAAGGAACCGCCATGTAGACGTCTGGCGAATTGCTGGAAAGATACCGTTGTCGTAAAAGGCGCCGCAAGCGATGCACCATATAGTGAGAGAGTGCTTGATAAACTTCTAGCGGCGAACCGTCGGCTCCAGCAGACGTCCCGTCTTCAAACCGACCCTCCCAGACAACGCGTCAAACAATGTCCAGGAGGGAACGAAACACACAGACACAATTAATCGTCGATTCCCCAGAAAATATAAGAAAATATAGGAAGTGGGGGGGAGGCAAAAACCCAGAAAAGATTGGAAAATATGGGGAATCCTGTTATTTGTGTGTATTTATTTGTGTGTCCCAGGGCCCCTTCAAATGTGAGTTCAGGAGTAGGGCATTCGTCAAGAGTCAAATTCCCTGCAACACTGTCCAACCTTTCAAGCCTAGCCTTTTGAACGTCCACCTGATTCTCCTCGTCCGCGAACCGCTTCGTGCCAAGCGCGTGCACCGACTTTCTCCATAGCGTCCTGTCTCCAGTCATCTCCCCGTCCACCTCCAACAACATGGACATCTGGCGCGCCGGCCTATCATAGGTGAGGGCAGCCAGCTTCCTTTCGTTGCGTAGCCGGCGCATCTTTTTGCGCGCCCGCCGAAATTCCCTGACTGCCTCCAGCCCCTCGTCCTTCGAAGCGTGGAACCCTCGACGGGAGGCCCGAAACCGTTCCGAGCAAGGTCGAGCTTGTGTTGCGGCACGTTCTTTGATGGTGCTGTGATCTATGGATTAGGCTAGCTGCAGCACGCCGGCCTGCGCGGCTGGCAGCGGCGCGTCCTGGAAGTTCCCGAAGTTGATAGATTCCACCTTGTAAACCTCCAGGGCCTCCACAGAACGAGGACGCCACCCAACCAAGGACGGCGTAGACGACACCTGAAATTGGCTTGCAACAGGTAGGCGATAGAAACCAAGAGCAGGTTTGTGACTTGTGCGGCGAGATAATAAACCAGGAACATTTCGGACATAAGCATGGCCAGATCAATCGGACGAGGAGCACATGTAGTCGATCTATGCTTTGGTCTCCGCATGGTGTTTCTGTTTCCGGGTCCACAGAAGGTTGCCCAGGATATTGCCTGACATACCCACGATTTTGTTGCGATAAATTGTTGTCCGCCCTGACCCCCAGAGCCAACATCCAAGCCGCAACCGTGCGCCTACGAGGTAAATCATGGTGCGACCGCTCACGATAAACAGCGTCGTCAATGATCGACTCGAAAGTCTCGCAGAGTTGGACGTTTGTGCCCGTTCCAACCACAACATGAAAACGAATCGTAGGATTTTCGTGGCAGGTACTGGCTTGATTTAGGGCGGATTTAGGTTGAGTCGGTTGAGTGTTTTTGTGTTTTGATGCCGACAACGATTGTAATGATGGTGGTTATCAAATCGTAGTGCTGATGGTCGTGGTGATGGTGATGGTGATGATGGTGGTGCTCATCACATCCAGAATCACCATCATCACCATCACCATCATCACCATCACAACCGCCCTCACCATACCATCATCACCATCCCCATCATCATCATCATCATCATCATCATCATCATCATCATCATCATCATCATCATCATCATCATCATCACCATCCATACCATCAGCATGTTCCAGTATGTTAGAGCTCCGTGGGTGCTCTAACATGGCTTGTTAGAGCTCCAACGGAGCTCTAACATAGCATGTTCGAGTATGTTAGAGCTCCCTGGGAGCTCTAACATGTATGTTAGAGCTCCGTGGGAGCTCTAACATGGTATGTTAGAGCTCCAACGGAGCTCTAACATAGCATGTTCCAGTATGTTAGAGCTCCCTGGGAGCTCTAACATGGTATGTTAGAGCTCCGTGGGAGCTCTAACATGGCTTGTTAGAGCTCCAACGGAGCTCTAACATAGCATGTTCGAGTATGTTAGAGCTCCCTGGGAGCTCTAACATGCTATGTTAGAGCTCCCATGTTAGAGCTCCCTGGGAGCTCTAACATACCGAGCTCCAACGGAGCTTTAACATATCATGTTAGAGCTCCGTGGGAGCTCCCTGGGAGCTCTAACATGGTATGTTAGAGCTCCGTGGGAGCTCTAACATGGTATGTT